GGTTAACTTCTTAACAGTAAATCTTCCTTTTAGTATTTGTTTACTTGGAGAATGCTTTTCCTTAACTCTCACATTCCTTTCATTGCACAATCCTCCTTTCTTTCTCCTCCTACCAAAACACAAAACTGTTCTATGATTTGGAAGATTCTGTGACCTCTTCAGGGTATAAGCACTTCAGCTTGTCTTTCTAGTAAGGCTGATCATAATGTTTGGTGGTATTCATAATGTGTCCTAAAAGCATGTTACTCCTTTAAATGTTGTACAGTGGTGGCCCAGGATTTTAGGCTCATGCATCAAAAAAACACGGGAGAAAGACAATATACCATGTCCTGTTGCTTGGAGGCACAGCTTTTCTCTTTGTTATCCATGTACAAATCAGGTCTGAGGCTTTCTTCAGTCTGGTCCCAAGATAGAGGTAACTGCCAAACAAAGTCTGGCTTTCTCCAGGTGGGGGTCAGAGAGGTGGGGGCAGGGGAGAGAGAAGAAAAGGAGAAATAATAAGCAATTTTAGTTTCTTGTACTTAGTCCAACTTCTTGTGTAATACAATAGTCAGTTTCTTATTTTCGGTATCTGGGATTTGATTTGGAAGTCTACAGACCTAGTTACCTCCTTAGACTGGAGGAAACATTTCCTTCTTCCCTAATTCTTTTGCCACCCCTTCTTTCTGTTTATATTCCTGCTCTGATGAATATAGATGGGAGATTTCCCTTTCCAATCAGCAAGCTGAGCAGCTTTTCAAAAGAGGCCCCTGTGCATGGTTGCCTTCACAGGCAGTACCCTACCAATGAAAAAGACAAGCACCAAATGTAAAGGTTTTAATACTCGGTTGACCCAACCTATGGGAAAATATTTACTGCCTTCAAAGTTTCCAAAGGCCATGGGTTTTAGTTCATCAGTGGGCTGGCATATCAAAGAAGATGCGTATACCATGACAGAAGGACCAGAAGAAAAAAGGACAGCTCTGCAGAAGTGATTTGCAGAACTACTACTGCCTTTAGCTCTCTACAGTTCTATGTTCTGGGTCTGTCTGTCCTTCTCCTGCCTCCTGCTAGAATCTGGATAGCCATCAAGCGCTCCCATAGCCCTTTCTGCACCACAGGGCAAGAGTTAGATGTGCCCTGGGCTCAGACTTCAGGCTGGTTCTTGTTGTTGTTTTTGTTACATTTGTATAAGATCCAGGGGGTTGGAGGGAGGTTTTTCCCACGCCTAACCATTTGAAAGTAGTGGGGATATATTGTTGAAGATTCCTTGGAGGATGGTCTACTCCCTCATCCCCTCCAGCTGGCTTTTTTGTCCGGTGGAAGAAGGTTTGATGAGTCCCTGGTTTCTGTTTGCTTATAGCGGGAATGAGTTGGCAGCCAGAAAGATTTCACTCTGTGCAGTCCTTATTTTTTTCCTTGCTCATTTATAAATCATGAAGGGAAGAACTTACCCATGCACTCATTAAGCTGCCAGCAACACACAGTGTTAAGGGTCCTAGTGATCTCATATTTTGCATATTGGAAACTAAGTGTATGTAGTCCTCAAGTAGCAGAGGTCATGCATGGCCAATCCAAGGTATTCATGCAGAAGTCCTAAAAACCAGATCAGGTCTCCAAAGGAAACATACATGTGGTATAATTCCGATTGCATAGTGAACCTTCAAATATTTACTATTTGAACTTTGTTTTATTTGCTGAGCTAGTATTGGTGAAATGCCAAAAAGTATAAGTGGTGTTACAGGTTTAACAGTTCAATAGGCATGAATATGTTGTTCAAACAAATACTTTTATTTTTGTCTTAAAGTGACACAAAGGTTATCAATATGTTAACTCACTGATGTTTGGCTACTCCGAAAGGTTGATACATTTGTATTAGCATAAATTGTAAACTCTTCATGGCAGGGACGTGTCTGTTGTACGGTGCAGAGTCCCGATTCTGATCAAGGTTTCTAGGGGCTGTCATAATGTAAATAATAACAAGACAAGGAAATTTCTAACATCGCTGTCAGAAGTTAGAAATAGAACAGCTACCTTTGCAAATTCTGTATTCCTTTGTTTAAATCTGCATTCTGCAGATCATTTTCAACATGAAATGTAGGCTGTTGTTGGTCTTGTACTATTGGGTTTCACTATGCTTGTTACTTTTGTCATTACTAAAATATGATGCATTCATCAATTGCTACTGTGTCTTCAGTCTTATTGCTTGGTAAGTATTACAAGTGGTATGATTTCTTGTTTAATTTATGATAGAATGTTGAAACAATTTACAGGAAATAATTACTACATTATAAATGCAGTATTTATTTTTTCTTAGGTGCTTTTTAATGTATCAGTTGCAATGAAAGGATGTGGTATAACTGAAGGAAGAAAATATGTGATAATCAAACCTATTGGTTTCAATGAAACCACCATAATTAATATATATAAAAACTGTGCCTGTCAGTGTGAGGACAGTGCAAGGCACAAAAGAATATGTGTCGATGAAACTTTTCTCGATGGTGAAAGCACCCATTGCGAAGACACTAACTGTAGTTCCAGTGAAGATACATTTCCTTTTGAGAGATGTAAGTTGCACCCGGACCAGCCCATCTGCAGTGGTCAAGGAGACTGCATAGGTGGAAGATGTCTCTGTCACAAAACCAGGCTGGGCAAAGTGTATGGCAAATACTGTGAAATGGATGACTTTTCTTGCCCGTATTACCATGGAAACCTGTGTGCTGGTAAGCTACCAAATTTAAGTGTGTTTTTGCTCAACCGTGTGTATATACAGTATGTAGTCTAACAATAATGAATATGGTTGTCAAACACTAAATGTTTCATTAAGTTAATTTATTTATTTTTAAAATCTGGTAGAGTGTCTGTAGCTCTGGAGACTGAAGTCCTCTGTTAACTACAGGTGTCTCAAAAATCTCCTACACTTTTGAGATTGTCTGAACCAAAACCCTGGACTCAAACAATCTCTAAATTCAAGAATTTCAAGACTAAACTCATGCATCTTTTTCCAGAGAGAGCTTATCCCTGATACCAGTATTGTTATTTCTGTAAAAGAAGAGAAGCAACTTCTACATATGAATCTGTGTGAACACCACCAAACTTTGGGAAATATCTTTCTGGATCTGGATCTGATTTTGTGTCTCAGGCTCATCTCTGGTTATATTATGACATGAATTCCGAAGAAGATGCAAGTGCATAGCACAGTATAACTACAAGTCACCCCAAATTAATGCCATCAGACCTTAGGTTGATCTTCAATTTCGTATGCTAACAAACAGACTAAAGTAGCTCAAAACAACCAAGCAAAAAACAGGACAATGTGAGCAGAATGAAACCAAATGAGCTCTTGATTTGGTACTTGAGACCTTCATTCCATTCTTGGGGTGAAATTCTGTTCGCAAAGAAGTGTGAAAATGAAAATGTTGCCTGAGGCAGGAGTGTGACATGAATGCCAAAACACCATTACAACAGAAGCAAAGATGCAGACTGTACCCAGTACCATTGTTATCTGTCAGCCAAAATTATTTTCTCTTTCTCAATGGAAGTAAAATGTAAATGTTTATTTTTTTAAATTTTAAAATAACTTAATATGTAAATATCTTTTTTGTAGTCCTCACTGTTCAACGAAATGCATCCATGTATTTAATTTCACTTCACTGTATAGTGCCCAACCTGTGCATTGATGGTCAAACTTAGGTCACATTTACAGTAGTGCAAATTTAGAACTCCTCTGACTTCAGTAGAGTTATTCTGGTTTAACGCTACTGTAATTGTTGCAGTACCTGAGTAGGCTGCCCACACTGAGACCCTTTTCCAGTCACTTGAGAGTGCATCCCTTTCAAGTGTCGGGCATCCACTTCTCTTTGGGATGAGATCTTCCAATCCAGCCACTCCCCAGCTGAGTTTCTGGGTTACTTCCCTGGTTGCCAGCCGTGTTATTTAGCAGGTTCAGTTAGCTTAGCACCTGCAAGATCTTTTTCTCTGGGCGCCTATGACAGCCTACATTTGCAATAAAAACAACGAGGAGTCCTTGTGGCACCTTATTTGGGCATAAACTTTTGTGGGCTAGAACCCACTTCATCAGATGCATAGAGTGGAAAATACAGGAGCAGGTATAAATACATGAAAAGATGTGAGTTGCCTTACCAAGTGTGAGGTCAGTCTAACGAGACAATTCAGTTGACAGCAGGATACCAAGGGAGGAAAATAACTTTTGAAGTGGTAATGAGTGGTCCATTTCAGACAGTTGACAGGAAGGTGTGAGTAACAGTAGGGGGAAATTAGTATTGGGGAAATTAGGTTTAGGTTTTGTAATGACCCAACTACTCCCAGTCTTTATTCATGCCTAATCTGATGGTGTTCAGTTTGCAAATTAATTCCCATTCTACAGTTTCACGTTGGAGTCTGTTTTTGAAGTTTTTTTGTTGAAGAATTGCCACTTTTAGTTTGTTATTGAGTGACCAGGGAGATTAAAGTGTTCTCCCACTGGTTTTTGAATGTTATGATTCCTGATGTCAGATTTGTGTCCCTTTATTTAGTTTATTCAAACCAAAGCATGTTTTATTTTTCCCAACAGGTACACAGTGCTTAGAGAAGTAGAATTAAAATAACTGACCTACACAAAAGTTCCCTTACCTAAGCTTAACATTTCTATCCAATGCTCGGGTTGGTCCGACTTGTTCCCCATCTCTGAGCTGGGAGAACCACCTGTACTGCTTACAGCCTTCTTCACTGGAGACCTCACAGCCTGTCAGCTTTTTCCTGACACACCCCGGGCCGCCTCTCCCAGCTGACCCCCTCTCTCTCTCCCCCCCCCCAAAACCTCCTTTTCCAGGGGTACCTTTTAAAGCATTCCTAGTCTTTTGATCTTTTAGGGTCTCTTTTGATCCCAGGCTTAGTCTTGGGAAGAGTAAAACATCCTAACCTGGATGGAGCCAGCCAGGCAAATTCTCCGCTAGCTGGAGGCCCCATCTGTTATATTAATTCCATGGAAGAAAACCAAGATACCTGAGAGAATGTCTTACCTGTGTCGTTGTTTTACCTTTCCTGTTCAGTTCTGTAACATCTTCTTTACAGCCTCCTTTGATATAGCTGTGTGCATTCAGTTAGGCAGCAATACAAAACAGAACAAGAAAACAGACTTAGACTTATAAACATTCATAAAAATACATGTTCCCAGTTCATCACAGTAACTATGAACAGAACTTTGCTTAGATGAAGTAGAAATAATAGTGTGTGATCATTAAAATAATTACAGTATTGTAATGTATATGCACAAGGGGAGGGAGTTAAGGTTTACTTTTCACTTTTCCTGATTTTTGAATGCCTAACTTTGCAACTTTACTGTTTTCTTAACATATGCTTTATATATTAGAATATAATAATAAATGTCTATGGTCTTCTTTTCCCCCCCAGAAAATGCAAAGTTTAAAAGTATCTTTAGTCACATTTGGTGGGAGGTGGGGGAGGAATAGACACTACTATATGTCAAAAGTGAAACTATACAAGTGTCTACAACATGGAAAACACATGCCTGCACACATTTTTAGCTGCCTCAGGCTCCCACAGTTTCACATAGAAAACTCTAAAGGAGGTAAGGGCTTTTATATAGCCCTTGACTCCTTTAGAATGTATGCTTAAATTCCCATTGACTGAAGCAGAGCTCATTACATGTTGTTGTTGTTGTTGTTACTGTGGTTCTAAATTAGTTACAGACCTCTTTCATTTAGAACACTAGGAGATGGTTGTTATAGTCCTGTCTTTAAAAACAAAAACAAACTACCATTCGTACATAATTTTTTAAAACCTTTAGAGCTTGGCCAAATCAAACTATTTTTCACAAAAGCACTAAAATGAATTTTTCATCCCTAAAGACTATCTCCTTTCTAGATGTGCACTTTTTAATCCTATCTGCTTCAATGTGAGACCTGTTTAGAAAATTTCAGAATAACACTGTATGATGAGAACAGTGTAACTGCTTTTTTTTCAGATTTTCCAAAAAAAAAGTTGGGTATATATCATGCTGGGGAAATTTCAGCCTGAAAGGTGAAAATTTCAGTAAGTTATGAGCAAAACAGGTGCTTAGGCTGACTTAGTTTTTCCATTCTAACTCATTCATTTCTGAGAGATGATAGAAAAAGGCATCTGAGACAAAAACACAGAACGCCATTTTGACCTCAAATGGCAATACAACCTAATAAATAATAGGATAGATCTTCCCCTTACCCTGAGCTGCATGGACAGCGACAGTTATGTTTCTCCACGTCAGTATATCAGCCATCTAAGTAAGCTGTCTGCACGGTTTGGAAACGGAGTACTGTAAAGGCCCTTCTCAGTGAGTTATTAAACAGACTGTCTAAATATCTGGCATACCCATGAGTCTTTTTAATAAGGGAAAACTAAGGTGACATTTGAAATAGAAACAACTGCCATATATAGTTGCTTATTAATATCTTTTATTCTCCACTTGAATAGGGATTTCACACTTCTAAATTTAACTCTAATCATTTCCGATTCTGAGAAATCTAGAGAATGCTAAGGATTTTGAATATGCTCTAGCCAAGACGCACACTTACTAAGGCAGATGGAGGTTTAACTGAACACTTATATACTCTCTGATGTTGCAGGCAATGGTGAATGTGAAGCTGGTAAATGTAAATGCTTTCGCGGCTGGGAAGGTGACCGCTGTCAGTGTTCACTATTGACAGCAAAACATTGCATGAATTCCAAAGGCCAGATTTGCAGTGGAAGAGGAGCATGTGTATGTGGAAAATGCGAGTGCACTGATCCAAGGAGTTTTGGCCGGTTTTGTGAATATTGCCCTACTTGTAACAATGCCTGTGACGAAAACAGGTATGTTTCTAATACTAGACTTAATTTCCATTTTTAATGTTGTTTTCCTTTCCCAGAATATTCCCATTTAGATGCTGTATACATTAGAATTTTATTCTCAGTGTAACCTTACTTAAACATGAAGCTTTGAGTCTCGACTTGAGGCTTGCACTGCACAATTCATCTGCAGCTGAGGTATTCATGCTGACATGCCCAGATCCACGTGCACTGCACTGAAACTTACTTTTTTTTTTTTACCTGTAGTATCCCATTAATTGTAGTCAAGATGGTTGTTTTATATATTTCTCCATAAATACAGGATTATCATGGCAACATATTTTCCCACTGCGTTATTACTAAACTGGAATAATTTAGAGATGGTCTGAAAGTGGTATCTGCTACACACATCACTAACCCTTTATCAGGAAGGTTAAAACATAAAAAATAACGTTGCTGCAATGAAAACAAGGCTATTCATAAGTGGTTAAGGGAACACTGTTGTTTTGGGAACAGAGTATTAAAGGAGGGTAGTATATTCATTCATTTGGTTCCGAATACATCATCTACAGGGCTGGGGGGGAAAGTGCAGCTTTGAGTTTTAAAGATGAATACGTAGGGTGAGTAGTTCTGCTCCCATGTGCGAAGAGGTAGAAAGGGATCAATCCTGTTGCCATGCTTACCCTTGTAGAGAGACTAGTCGCAACCCTGTCCTTGTGCTCTCTCCCCAAAGAAGACAAGGAAGAATGAGCCTGGAGACAAAGGGCTTGTCTACAGTCAAAACATGACAGCAACACAGCTGCACTGCTGCGTCTGCACCGCTGTAGCGCTTCAGCGTAGCCACAATCTACGCTGACGAGAGGGATTCTCCCATTGGTGTAGGTAATCCACCTCCCTGAGAAGCGGTAGCTAGGTCGACAGAATTCTTTTGTCAACCTAGTACTGTCTGTGCAGGGACTTAGGTCAACTAAACTACACTACTCAGAGGTGTGGAGTTTTCACACCCCTGAGCAACATACTTATGGCCAATCTAATTTTCTCGTGTAGATCAGGCCTCAGCCATGTGTCTCCCTCCCCACTAGCCAGCAGAGCTGGGCTAACAAGGGGGAGTAAATTCTCCACTCTTTCAAAGATTGTAGCAAGAACTACATGCTCCTGAAGGCTGCTTCCAAAAGCTCCTGCTGGAATGTTGCATCATTCTGCAGTCCCCATTGTGGGCAATTTAACCCTTCATCTAAAAGAGTAAACAGTAAGAATAGAAAGAATTGATATTCGTCAGTTGAATTCTGAGCTGTTTAGTGTACATGCTGTTGGAGGAAAACTCCAGACCATGTCTGAAGAGGTGAATGCTCAGACAGAATGATGTGAAAATACAATATCTGTGTTATAACTGAAAGTCAAAGGGAGTTAGTGCCCATGCCTTTGAACAATCTATCTCAATTTGATTAAAAAGTCAATTGCATTTTTTTGTAACATTAATGATATTTGTTTTCTGTAGTCATTTAAAGTTCAGTTCTACTCTGAAAGTAGTAGTAAAAATGGCACTACCTACTCCCTGTTTGTATTCAGAGTCTGATCTGTTGACATTTAGTCACAACAGTTAGTTGTTTGCTACTTTACTTCTGTAGGCACTGCAGACCCAGCCCTGTGTAGACAAGGTGCTCATGTCTATTCTTCCTAATGTATCATCAAAAGAATTCCATTTGCAAGGTTAAATGTTTCCCTGTATTATTACTGTGCATCTCATTGAATGCCATGAAAATGTGGTGTAAGGGGGAATAAGTGGACTGCAGGATCGTTATTACTATTGATGATGCATGAAAGGAAAGAACCCACCTTTATTTTAGTAGCTCATGTTGAGTTTTTGGATCTGATAGCTAAAGAAACCACGGGGTAGATTCTGCACCTCCTTAGATGTACAGCATGAAAGGTTTCAGAGTAGCAGCCGTATTAGTCTGTATCCGCAAAAAGAACAGGAGTACTTGCGGCACCTTAGAGACTAACAAATTTATTAGAGCATAAACTTTCGTGGACTACAGCCCAAGGTGTAGTCCAGGGTCAGGGGAGGGTGGCTTTGAGCCAGCATCTGACTATTTTACTTCACTACTTTTCACCAAATAGTTTTGACAACCACATTGGGTTAAAGTAGAGAGACAAGGTGAGTGAGGTAATATCTTTTATTGGATCTGTTGGTGAAAGAGACAAGCTTTCAAGCTACACAAAGCTCTTCTTCTGGTCACTCTATTAGCTCTAGGTAGCTTGAAAGCTTGTCTCTTTCACCAACAGAAGTTGGCCCAATAAAAGATATCACCTCGTCTCTCTAATATCCTGGGACCAACTCGGCTACAACAATACTGCAAATAACAATGGGTTAAAATATTGCAAGAGAGAGAAAGCATGTCTCAAAGTTAATAAATAAATGCTTCAGTATTTTTCTAGCAGCAAGAGAACATTATTTGAACACAATAATTATTCTGTTGATTTAATCGTTTAAGGAAAATGCAGTGAAGTTATAATGGTGGTTAAGTGCTATATTTATATGTTCATTTTCAGGAATTGTGTTCAGTGCCATTATTCTAACAATGCATCACAAACTACACATGACCAGTGCAAAACCTCATGTGCTTATATGGTGCATTATATTGATCCCGCATCAGGTATGTAAAAACCTAGCTTTGCCTAATCATTTTATTAAAAGTGTGAAAGCCATCAAAATTCATAGTAGAGGATGCACACAATCCACTTGGCATCACTTAAGAACCATTTAATTCTTTAAAATGGAGTGTAAGTTATGTATAGGACTCGGTATAGGCCCTCTGCATTGTGGTGAAATTTTCCCCTCAGTTAACAGTCAGGGCCGGCTCCAGGGTTTTGGCCGCCCCCAAGCAGCCAAAAAAAAACAAAAACCCGCGATCGCGGTCTGCGGTGACAATTCGGCGGGAGGTCCTTCGCTCCGAGCTGGAGTGAGGGACCATCCGCCGAATTGTCGCCGAATAGCTGGACGTGCCGCCCTTCTCCGAAGTGGCCGCCCCAAGCACCTGCTTGTCAAGCTGGTGCCTGGAGCCAGCCCTGTTAACAGTTAATACTTAATTGTAAAAAAGCCTCCACTCTTCCCTTCCCTTTTGCCTTCCTCAGCCCTGCAAAATGCAGTACACCTTGACGTGTTATTTTGTAACAAAATTAAATCTGATATCGTCCTGCTTAAATATTCGTATGAATGATGGATTTAAAAATTGGCACTGATGCACAGATATTTCTGTAATAACATTCCTTGCTCTAGTTAGCATTTATATTCTTCAAGAGTAGATTGTGATTGTTTGAAGAAAGTTTGTTTTGCTTCAGGGAAAATGAAAGATAAATAATAACAGGAAATGTGATTGGCAAGCATTGCTAAATCAGATTTCCAAGATCCTTGAGAAGTTGCATCCAATAGTAAATCCTGCCTCAGTAATGTTTAAAGAAAGATTTACAGAAATGTATTATGGTAGCCATATGTTTTACTACTTCTCATATGTTTACATTATTTCACATTACGAGAGCTGAACAAATGAAGTAGAACGCATAGCTCAATGAAACATTTTAATGTGTCTTAAGTATACACAGCTGTAAGGTAATGAGCGTGTGTAAAAGTCTTTCTCTATTAATAAACACATCCAAAGCCCATTCAAGTGACAGGGCCCAAATGGCAAAGAAAATTACATATATGTAATCACTTTTTGTCAGTTAATAGCTTTACGTAGACATTTTGTTTTAAAGAGTCATATAAAAGTGACAGAGATTCTATTTGGGATTTATGAGAAGGATCTGTAGATTTTTAAAACTATTAGAGGCCCAGACTATTGAGAGAAGCGGTGCAGTGCATAGGGCATGGGACTAGGAGTCAGGAGACCTGGGTTCTATTCCTGACTGTGCTACTTACCAGCAAGGAAAGTGACAAGCCTGAGTTTTACCTTCCACACTTTGTCTGTCTTGTCTGGGGCAGAGACTGTCCGGTACTGTGTTGTGTGCCTAACACAATGGAGTCCTGACCTCTAGGTGCTACTGTAACATTAAACAATAAAAAAGTTGTGACCTTGTATCTGGATCTTCCTAATTGGAATTTTTTTCCTGATAAAGCTATTTTAAAAATAGTTTGCATATGGCAATGTGAATAATTATTCCTTCTTCATTAAATACTTTCACACATACAATCGTTTGGGGTTATTTTAGGAATTTGGTTTAGTGAAGCTATGCTAAATTAATGTGCACTGTTAAATTCAAACTTGGTTTAATGGGTGCCCCATATCAATATTTTAGCTTTACACTCTTGTTTTCCTTTTATTGCAGAATGTTTCTCTGACCCAAACTACTTTAGAATCTTTTTTATAATCTTTATAGTTACATTTCTGATTGGGTTGCTTACTGTACTTATCATCAGGCAGATAATTCTACAGTGGAATAGCAATAAAGTTAAATCTTCCTCAGATTACAGAGCATCTGCAACAAAGAAGGTAATTGATTTCAGAGAAAATCATATTCAGTCCTTTTTTTTTTTGCTTGCATATAAGTGTTAGCTATTTGTTGCTAAACTGTATCTTCTCCTTCAAGGATAAGATGTTTTTGCCT